TATTCACAGACAAATCATTCCTGGAACGTTGAAGCAATGTGGTCTTGAAAAAGGACACCGGACATCACGACGACTGCTGTCAGCAACGGGTAGGGTATGGGGGATAGGAATGCCTCGTAATAGGGGTGGCCCTTTGCTAATTTCCAAGGTAATTAGAACTACGGCTAGGGTTAAGGTTTGGCTAGTGTTGAAGCCAGGATTAAGACACGGGAATAGTCGCCCTTCCTGGAATTCAGAGCAAAGTGTTCAAATGTTCGTTTACAATGAACTCCGGCTAGGGGATCTGGTTCCAGGCAAAACACTTTGCGTCTTTTACGCAATTGGGTAAATTGTTTGGAATGCACAAATAGGTAAGGCATTTTCGTCGATTTCATCGGACAAAGTTTGAGAAATTAAAGAAATAGTCACTTACGTTACATCAAAACAACAGCCGAATTTATTTAAATATTGATAAGTATAAATTTCTTGCGTAAGTACCAAAAATTAGTTTCAAGACGGACAGACTTTCATGAACATGAACTAACAGGATCTGCCGTGCTGCGATAACTAACTCCCCCCTCCTCAATACCTCATCATATGCCCACAGCTAAGACTAATAGCTTCTATTATATTTACCTATTAAGTTTCATCCTTCAAGGTGGACACTTTATTGGGCAGTTAATTTATCCTGTTATTAGGCAATGACTCTTTGCAGTCTGCAGAGGTCGCGAAATTATATGACGTCAGTCAATTCTGCTAATCTCATGATCTTCGCCTTGTTCCAATTCATTCCGAAAAAACAATGTTTAAATCGAAATTGACTCAAATTCATCGTTTTACTGCAATCATTTCTTAATTGTTAGACGAGTAAACTGAACGCAGCAGCTCTCCTGCTAGAACAGTAGGTCCTACAACGTTTAATTTATCGTAAGCATCATAATGGAAGATTCCTACTTTTCCCAAGCAACCCTCTGATACATGCACTGAAAGCTGCAACAACATGGGGCACACCCCTCTGTGCTCGCATTCGTTGTCGTGGTATAGGACACGTGAACCGCGCCCGAGAGTGGCGTCTTTTTCTTTAAATGGCTTATCTCTTTAACAAAAAGCAGGCAACTACACAGTGCATATAGCTCGACTTGCCTCCACTCTCCGTGCTGGCTACATTTTCCTTGCTATCACTGAGCTGACCCAAAACACCAACCGAAATGGGCTGCCTGTTGGATGCGGAAAGTTGGCGCTGTTCACGGGCCTCCTTGGATTTCTCCGCCTTCTTCAGACGATTAATGTATTCCTGTGTTTCCGGCAGTCCCATGTCTTTGCTAAGTCGCACTAAGAACTGCAGACCTAAGAGGAACAGGCGAAGAGAGCAAGAAAAACAATTGAAGTGTTAAGAATTCCGATAAAAATAGATGAAAAACTTTTTTGGCAATAGTAGCTTATGTAGGCCCACTCATTACTCCCTACTCCTTGCATGTTTTCCTACGAAAACGGTGGTTATAGGGTTTTATGGGGGGGAATTAAGACACACAGTGGAATATACTTTAATAAATGCTAAATTCATTTC